AGGAGGACTAGGCCTTCCTTGCTTACATGACTATTATAGGGCAACCCAAATAAAGCCACTGGTGGGCTGGTGTAAGCCTGGGTATTGTATCAAGATGGAAGGAAATCGAGTATTCCTTGGGAGGTAACTTTCCTGTTAGGGCACTGATAGGAGACCCCTCAATGTTAAGTTGTTTGGGAGACCTAGGTAACCCTTGGATAATAAGCTCGGTGAAGACATGGAATGGATTACTTAAAAAGTGTCAATTAAAACAGGGGGCTGGACTCTTTAGGTGGGTCGCATACAGCTCAGAGTTTTTGCCTATAAGATTGACTCAACATTTAAAACATAGGGTAATAAAGGTCTCCCCACATACAGTACCTCATTAAAAGAGGGGAAAGAGTTTCCAGGACCAGGATCAAGATTTTTTTTTTTAGATATTTGCAACTGAGGGATTTTCTGAATAAGTAAATTAAAACATCCCCAGTTACTGATGGGGGATGAAAAAAAAAAATTTGTATATTCGAGAATGCATATAAGGATGGACCCTATCAAAAACGTATCTCAAAATTATATCGATCACTGACCAATCAAAAGGATCATGATACAGAATATGTAAAAACAAAAGGGGAAACAGAGGGGCAATCTAACCTCATCAAGAGAGGAATGGGATAGAATTTGTAAACTCCCCCTCATGGAGGGAATTCAGCTGGAAGAATGTAACTCATTACTTTTGTACCCTGGCGCAAAAATCCAAATATTCTCAACAGACAACCACCTGGAGGCTGTCTGGGCATGCAGTAGCAAATCACTTCCATATCTTTTGGGATTGTCCTGATGTGGCACCATTTTGGTAGGAAATACATAAGATCTTGGAAACTGTCTTTAAAAAGAAAATACAATTTAATTTCGCTGTACTGTACTTAGGAAACTAAGAGAGTCTTAACTTGTGCAAAAGGGATAAATATCTGCCCAATGTGCTGTTGGTGGCTTCTAGAAAAGCCAAGCCTCCTACTATAAATGAGTGGATTGATTTGATATATATTATATTATTATATTATACTCTAAAATAACTTTTAGAATGAAGTCACAGGTGGACTTGTTTGAGGAATACTGGTTGAAATGGTTAACCTATACACAAAATGAAAGGCGTGATGTTCATTGTTTTTCCCGACTGTTTTTGTTCTGTTATTAAATTGTACTCTTGTATTCCTTGTATAAAAAAGAAAACCAATAAAACACAAATGAAAAAAATAAATACATTTTAAAGTTATGGCATTGAAACTGCTTAGTAAGCTATGTACAACACATTTCTCTGTGATTTGAGAATTACCTATGATCTTAAACTCTGTGAAATTTCTTCTTGTTGCCTTTTACACAAGAATGTCCGTATGTGTGTGTGTTACCTGTCTAGGCTGTTTAGGAATGCAGGGCTGGCTGTAAATATGTTTGAGGGGCTCCAGGATCTCTGTTCCTCCAAGATCAGCCTCCATCTGCTCAACTTTCGTCAGAGCGATCTTCACATTCTCCTGCTTGTACTTCACACTCGTGCTGCAAAAACATAAACACAGATATACACATTTATTTTAAATTATTTTTTTGCATTTATTTTGTTTGCTATTGACCAATGTGTGTCTTTAATAAAGTGAAAATAAACTATGTCTCGGACAGCTGGATTTTGTTGGGCTATGATACGAGGGAGAGACTTACGGGAAGATGTGTTCATAACTGGACCCAAAACTGTAAATGTTGAAATAGCAGCCCATTGGTAAGCTCTTCAACAGGAGCAGTAGAGTATCCTTGAGGGAAGAGAGAAAGGATGGTGAGGCCACTGTGTGAGAGGAACACTAAGAAAGACTTTATGACTGTAACACCACATCATAAATACCCTGGCACTGCTGATGCGAGTATAATTCATACTTCCAGATCGATCCATTAAGAACACAAACTCTCCACATGAAGCCGTTGAAGACATCACAGACTGGGGGAACTCAGGGTACAGACTCACCATCACCACTGGATCACCCATCAGAGAGTCTGAAAAGTAAAAGACAGAAAGAATGTAAAACAACACAGTATTTATTCAAACATATTTAACTCCTGAGTTGATGAGTAAAGATAATTAACTTTTTATTTCCAAACTAACAACTTCTCTCATTTATTATCACCTGGCTCAGCAGAGGCCTGTCCTGCCTCCACCACAGCAGTGGGCTGGTGGGCGTCTTTGTAATAAATCAGCAGTTCAACATCTCTGTCAAACTTGTGTCCTGCAGCCAGCTTGACCTGCACACCACAAACACATTCATATTTA